ATGTCTCCTGACCTGGAGGAGCAGTGTTTACCCCCAAGGGCCACTTTTCCCAAGCATCTGATTCCCTTTCCCACCTTTTCCAAGGGGGGCAGGGAGTTGTCAGCTTCAGGAAGTTTTAGCCACACTGAGGATCCCAGCTGGGGCTACTGTCTCCTATTCAAATTGGAAGTGGCTGCTGCCAGATGTGTAAGAAACTCCCTAGAGAGCAAAATTGGGAGGTATGATGATTTATTTTTGGTTTAGACAATGATGGTCCAAATGTAGACAGGCACCAAGAGATCTGCCTGCTGGCCAGTTTCCACCATTAAAAAGAGTGCATAATTTTTAAAAGGAGACAATCCTGGTGGGAGTGGGGGAAGGGAGAGTCTGGCCTAAGTACTGAGAGAGAAGACTGACAGGCAAGGAAGAGCCATTGATTAAGAAAGAGGTTTTGGACTTGATTCAATGAGGTAACCAGATGCCCTAGTTTGTCTGGCCAAGTCATGGTTTTGCCTCTTACCAAAGTTTAACTATTAAAAGTTAATAGCTCCTTTTTACTCCTAAAGAAAAAGTCCAAGTTTGGATGATAAGTTCTGTGGTCACCCTATTCCAAGGGAAATAAGGAGTCATTGCTAAAATTAATCCAGAAGGTGGCATGTAGGTAAATGATGCAGTAGCCTGAGAGAGAAAGAGGTAGCAGAGGGTCAGGTTGGCTCATTCTCAAGAATGTTTACAACTGCAGGGTTGTTAGTGATTTTCAGTCATAGATTTGCAGAGTGTAGACACTGAAAGGGCTTTGAGGTCTACCCTCTAATCCACTCTCTCTTCTACCAGAAGAGGACACCAAGCTAAAGCAACCTGCCCAAGGACACATGGCTGGTTTCCAAAAGAGTGAGGACCAGAACTTACCCCTGGGGTATGAAGCCCAGGTGCTCTTGACTCTGAAAGATGCTGCAAAGAATAAATAAAGGCATCAGAGTCAGCATGGTAGCCCAGAACAGAGAGGGAGGAGTCATGGTTCTGAGGTGGGGGTGGCGTGTGAGAAGGAGAACTGGACAGAGGACAGGAACGGGCGCAGGTGTAGACATGCTGAGCATGCTTGGATGTGAGGCTGGAACTTAGGTCAGACTTGGAAACACTACTGAATGGTAGGTGAAGTCAAGGGGAAGACTGGCTGGGGCTATAAGGGGCAGAAGAGATTGACTGGGAAGTAGGACTAAGAACAAGTAAAGAAATAGGTAAAGTGTGGAGTGAAAAAGTACCAAAACCGCAACCACTGCCGTGGAGTCGGATCCAACTCATAGTGACCCTTCCTTGGGTTTCCGAGGCAGTATCACTACAGAAGTAGATTGCTCAATCTTCCTTCTGGGGAGTGGCTGGTTGGTTTGAACTGCCAGCCTTCTGGTTAGCAGTCAAATAAATGCCTTAGGCACTATGCCACCAGAGCTCCCAAGTTAAAAAGTTGTTGTTGTTGTTATGTGCCATCGAGTCAAACCCGACTCATAGCGACCCCTCCTTGGGTTTCCGAGGCAGTATCACTACAGAAGTAGGATTGCCCAACCTTCCTTCCGAGCAGTGGCTGGTGGGTTTGAACCGCCAGCCGTCTGGTTAGCAGGCAAGTGTCTTAGCCACTATGCTACCAGAGCTCCCAAAAGTTAAAAAGTGGGTGGACTAAAATAAGTAACTTATGAACTAATTCTTATGGCTGAAAGAGTAGTGAAATACTGCTAAAAGGCAAACCCTGTAGCAGTTGTCTATCCCTAGCTACCTCTTCTCTAGCTCCTTTATAGAACTTCAGGGATGGATGAAAAGCTGTAAGTCAGAACCTTGACCTGTGTGTGGCAGATGGAAAAACTGAGTCACAGAGAAGATGACTTCTTCCTATCTTATAGCACAATCAACAAATTAGGTGTGATTAACAAACTGTACAACTGATTCCATAGCCAGACACAACAACACATCTCATGGTTTCATCACAATCACACCTCCCAGGAGTGCTCTGGTGGTGGCAGATGGGCAGGATAGTGGAGGCCACAGGAGGTAGCCAGCCTAATTCTGGGCTAACTAGCTGTGCAACAGTGGTAAGCCACTTCCCTCCCTCTTTCCCCTGCTTTTCCTCATTGTCAGAAAAAGGCTCTGGCCACTGCTATCTTCAAAGTCTCATACTCTGGTTGTGTTTTTCCAGGGATCATCTGACCGTGGCTCAACCATAGGCATAACTGTGTTCATCTCTTGCATCTTCTCTGGGGTTAGTGTATATGGTATCCTCATAGATTAGAACAAAGTATTTGTCTTCAGTTCTTAATTATCTCTGACAATGTAGGGATGGTACAGTGTGCATGCAAAAAGTCATTTTAAAAAAACATATTTGATCAGATCTGTGTTTTTCCCATCCAACAACTTTTCATCCAATAAAGTTGAGTTAAATATTTAAATTTATTGCAGATAATCTGCAAAAGGAATAGTTTACAGGAGCAAACATAACTCATTGCAGGCTGATGGCATTCAAACTGATGTACTGTTACTCTAAGTAAGTTTTCCCACATAACATAAACAGAATCCTATACACTACTCTCACATGCACACGATGGTGTCCAACATGCATCATTAAAAACCTCAAGCTTCTTTGATAGAGACTGGTAGAACCCCCAAGACTATGGCCCTTAAGCACCATTCAAGCCTAGAAATGGAGTCACTTATGTGGCTCAAATTTCAGCCAAACAATAGCCTATAAATTGAATAATAACACCAGGGAGGTACGCATTCCTTACAGCAGTCAACCATATGAAATCAAAAGGGCAGCATTCACCCAGGGATAAAGCTCAGAAGGCAGGAAGGGATAGGAAAGATGGATGAATGGAAATCATAAACACGGGGAGGAAGTGGGAAGAATGCTGTTACACTGTGAGGATTGCAATTAATGCCACAAATCAAAATGTGTATGAATTGTTGAATGGAAAACCAATTTGCTCTGTAAACTTTCACCAAAATCACAAAAAAAAAGGTTTTTTTTTTTTTTAATTTAAAAAAAAGAAACCTCAATCTCCTGAAAAAAAATCCTAAGATAGTTTCAGTATATATAAAGTGAGCACAGTTTTTTGTTCAGTGAAACTTCTTTGATGGTGTATGTTCAAATATTTGCAAATATCAAGATAACACCCACAGACATCACTCTCAGTTGCTACTGTCACACGTCCACAGAAACCAATGTAGAAGATATAAAATACTGAATGTCACTGGAGATCATACCCATGTCAGAATACCTCAGGCTACCTTATGCATCTTTTCCCTGTCCTATACTGTTAGTTTCTAACCATTCTGGGTCAGAATGAGAGTCAGCACCAAGGCAGGAAACTTTGAGAGGAGGAGGTGGCTTTGGGTAGCACCTCTTCCTACCTGGTCACTACAGATGTGAAGAAACTCGGCCACAGAGTTGCTGTGGCATCACAAGTTGTGTAAGCTATCAGCATAGTCAGAGCGAGATTGGAGTCTGGTCCTTTGACGCTAGGCTCTGGTTCCATTCTCTCTACCCTGCCTTGCCTGTGAGATGATGCCCGTGTAAGGTCACATAGGGTCACCAGTGCTACCACACAGTGTACAAGAAGACACCCAGCAGGCAGACACACAGTGGAGAAGGGAAAACAGGAAAGAGTCAAACAAAAGGAGAAGAGCAAAAGAGAAGCAAGAAGCAGCAGCTGGCGAGAAAAAAATGCTGGAAAGAACGGGAAGAAAGAGCCAAAGACCCAGTGTTCCTGGACACATTAAGCAGAGATTGGGGGTATAGAAGTGAGTGTCTGGGGCTCAGGAAGTACTCCAAGGCCTCAGAGAGCCAGCCAGCACCTAGAAGGAAGGATCCCTGAGGAGCAGAACAAAGAGCTAGTGTGGGAAACCTCACAATACCAAGAAAAGTCTATTGGCTTATATGGTTGAACCTATGCCATTTACAATCAGTGCCTTATACCCAGGAGTCTGGTAGACCAGGTCTCCCAGACAAACCCAACATTTGGTATCCTCACGTCTTTAGTGTAAAATTAACATCACTGAAAGCTAAAAAAGAAAAGAAACACCAAAATATCACATCTTAGGCAAATGACTTGAAAATCCCTTATAGTGATGCCTTATTTTTTCCACTCATTTCTAAAGGCAGAGGACACCTGGTATACAGTTTAGGTAAAGAAATGTAATTCCTGGTGTATGTGGTTTCTTGATGACACAGAACTGAAATGACATCATGGAAATGCATATGCCTCAAGGTCAGTCTAAGAACAGTTTCTCAAGAACATGAGACTCAGTCATTGGTGGGAAAGCATGTGTGGACCTTCACGATGTGCTGGTATCTACCTCTTTCTGTCTTTAAAGATAAAGTTTTAATTAAATTCAGTCAGGCCACCTGCCAAGTTTTTGCACACTTTTGGTTCATCTAGATGTACAACTTAAATGTAGATTATCCCACACCAATGCTCTTTTGTCATTTGGAAGGAAATAACACAAGTGTTACTGAGGGGGAAAGAAATGCATTTTGCCTTCCACTCAAGGGCAAGGAGAACATAACACAAGATGCCCCGTTCCAGTGGTTCTTGTGAACAGTCTAATTTGGGTAGCATTTCCCATGGTGACAAAAGTGAGGATATGGCAGACACAGAACGTATGGAATCCTTTGTCTTAATTAAAAAGTACAGTGGGAGACATGGAATTTGGCCAAGCCTCATAAATCTGCTAAAAAGAAAAAACTCAAGACTGTCAGATAAGTTTAACTAGAACCAACTGAACTCTCTGGGGAACCAAATAGATTCCCTGCTAGTGGTTGACACCCACTCTCCTGTCACTTGCCTGCACTCCGTGAAGGCAGTTGTGCTCATTAACCAGCAACCCTCCTCCCTGCTGATGACAAGCTCATCCCTGAGGAGTACAAAATTCAGAGATGATAAATTTACTCCTGCCTGTAAAAATGAAAACTATCCTCAGGACAATGAAAATGCTAGGAGCCTTTAAGGAAATGAGTACTTTATCTGATAACTTACCTTCATTAACAAAGCCTGGTCCTCTTGATCAGGACAGCTCTTCACTGCCAAGGAGAACTGCTCTAAAGTAACTGGAAGGGAAGAAAGGAAAATGGTGAGCTACCTTACTTCAAATACTTCCGGTGCGGTGGAGAATATTGTTGTCATAGCAGATATTTCTATCTGGCATGCTGTCTGACCTTGCTTACTGACTCTGAAATCTGCAGAGCTAAATTTTCTATTCAAGCCTCCAATTTATCACATTGTGATACCCTGTGTATTGCTCTGATACTGGAAGCTATGCCACCAGTATTTAAAATACAAGCAGGGTTACCAATGGTGGACAGGTTTCAGCAGAGCTTCTAGTCTGAGACAGACTAGGAAGAGAGATCTGGCACTCTTCTTCCAAAAATTTGCCAGTAAAAACCCTATGGATCACAACAGAATTTTGTCTTATATAGTGCTGGAAAATGAGCCCTCTAGGTTGTAAAGCACTCAAAATACACAGTGGCTGACACAACGGTCTTGAGCATACTAATGATTGTGTATATGATGCAGGACCAGGTGACATTTCATTCTTTTGTGCATGGGGCTGCCATCAGTGGGATCTGACTCAAAGGCAACCAACAACAACACAAAAAACAAAAGCCATCTCTGGGAATTGGAGGTCAAAAGGAAGCAGAATGCATATATATCTTGGTTGCTTTCCCCTCACCAAGATGTTAGTGTGACATACACTTTTATGCCAACAGTGGGTTTTTGATTTGTACAGAGTCTCCAAGATGGAAACAGAAGAGAGTATTCAGTGTTGGGCAGCTGCTTTCCACCAGGTTCTGTGTTGGCCACAGGACACGGTAAACTTACACACTGATGATGGGTGGTGAGAGTGTCACAAGGTTGACATTCCTCTCTGTTCTCCCTCCTCCTCTCTGGCTTTTAAATAGGAAAAAAGCCCAAAAACCTCAAAATGAAAGCACTTGTGGTATCTATTTTCCTTTACTGCTATTGCTGATCCAGAGAATGACCACTTAATGAGAATGAGGCACAAAGCCAAGTAAGCACTGACAGAACACGAGATTTCCCTCAGGGGCACAATTTTCCTTAAGAGACTCTCCATTAAACCATTTTCATGATTCAACATCTATTGTTTTAACTGCTTTTAAATGTTTCAGTATTATTGATTTTCAATAGCGATATGCCAAGCTTTCTACCTGTCTAGGAAGTTCTCCTTTACACCTTTGTGAGACAAAATATATGTCTGACAGTAAATGGCAAAATCCAGATTTTTAGAAACATGTAGCTTTGGGATTGGAGAGGGATGTGAGGAAGAAACACAGGAAAAATGACTCAATTGGAGTAGAAAATGGTAGTTAGGAAAAAAATTATACATCAGCATGAAATGCTATGTCTTCCCTTCTGATACATGCTGCAATGGATTGGTAGGTAAAATGAACAACTGCTCTTACCCCCTGCAGCCATTTTGAAAGGTGGGCACATCCTTGCAAAATGGGAGATACCTAAAACTCAAGGAAAAAGTTACATCTAGAATAGACTTCATGAAATGTTGTTGCAAGTAAGGAGGGTGGGTAGTGAGACAAATCAAATGTATACCACAGTACTTATTTTCTCTTTGAAATGATGCAGATAAGACTGAGGACCCAGGACTAAGTTAAAAGGAATAACTGATCTTGATATATGACCCACATGTTGGGCTGGATTGCCCAGAAATTTGGCCTCAGAATGTTCTTTCAGCTTCTGTATTAATTCCTGTACCAGAGTCCTGAGTAATAGAGGCTCTGTCCTGGTGCTAAGCACTCGGGAGCCTTGCTCCGGCATTTCTTTGGCTGCAACCTTTACCCACAGGGCTAGGGGGAATGCTCATCAGAAGCTTGTTCCCTACTGTACTTCTCCAGGTACCCAAATCCTGGGTTTCCTGGCCCAAATAGCCTGGACATTTTCCTGGAAATACGCTCCTGATGTGCACCTCTAGATCCTTGGAGTGGTCAAGGGCTAGCTGTTTGCAGGAGTGTGGACAGGGCTTGGATGATAGACTGGAGGGTCAATACAGGTGTATGTGAGGCTCTTAAAGTGTGCAATGGAGCTGGGGGTAGGAAGAAAAGGAGGTGGAAAGGGGCAGCTTCTCCCCATGCTGCAGAGTTCTGACACAAAACTTCGAGGAGTCTGAGAATTCCAGCCTGGCCTTCTAGACAAATGAAGGTACATTTGTCAAGGCAAGAGAAAAGAGCATACTAAACTCAACACTTTTCAAGTTTGTTTTGTAACTTCTAAGCGTTGATGTCTACAAATAGTGTGTACATCCCATTTGTACTCTTGACCAGGGGCCCACACAAAATAGGGGCAGGCCCATGACAGGGAATGAGGACTACACACTAAAGCACCAAGCTTTCCCAAGCCTCCTAGAAACCAGGCTCCTTGCCCTTGGAAAGAGGATGGTCATTCCAGCTGAGTCTCCCGTCTACTGAAAGAACAAGGCTTTCACCTCAGGTGCCAACAATGAAGAGAGGAAGACAGCTGCCTCGTATGGGCAACAAAAATAGGGAGGTCAACAGAGGTTCTATCTGGAGTCAATCTAGTGGCTGAGCAACCCTCAGGGGCTTGGTGGACACTGTTCTCTGGAACAGATGCCTCCCTGTTGAGGCTGCCCTGGCACCAGGGGTGCAGATCCCTGCTCTCTGGCTCAGGCCCAAGCGGCCTCTCCAAGGAGCCTGGTGGACTAGGCCTGCTCACCTGGTACCCACATCTGCCAGAGGGACAAAGTTCTGGCCCAGACCAGTACATGGATGAGATTGTGCTCGTACATTGCGGAGGCTCCTGGCTGGGGACCCTCCTTGTTTGGGACCCTTTTTCCATTTATTATGTGGCACAAGGAGGATGACCCACTGTCGCCATCCTTCAGCCCCCTCCTAACTGAGTGACAGCAGTGCTTTCAGCTCATTTTGCAGAACCGTCTGTCACTTCAGGCCTCTGAAGTCCGCCACCCACCTCTTCTTCACAACATAACAGGGACGTGTGAAAAGAAAGAAAGAACAACAAGGCTTCCATTTTTGCAAAAAGAACTCCAGCTTTGTTTTCAGAATCAACATGGGGGTGGGGAGGATGAACAGGGCCTTTTAACTTCTTAGCAATTAGCATCCAAGATGTTTCAAGCTTCCTAGGCATTGAGATGGGGTGCAAGGGTGTGGATGTCACCCATGAGAACCTCAATGCCAAAGCAGGGGAAGCGGCTCACAAACCCATCCCCAGCCTGCTTGTGTGGCCAGTGGCCATGCAGCACTTACCACCCTTCTCTCCAGCTCAGGTGACCTCTCCCAGAGTAGGCAGTCCAAAGACACCTGTGGCTGTACCTTCTCCATGTCTGGGGAGAAGAACCCAGGGAGTAGCTTCTCCTCTGGCAGGTGTGTCACAAGTCCTTGGTCTCTGTAACTAAGTCCTGGATCCCAGCACTTCCAAAGACAACACCTCCTCCAGAATGGGGAGTGGGAAGCACCACTGCCCTGATGCCAGGACTACTTTCAACCCCCACTGCCACCATCTCATTGTTGGCCATTGTCCTCTCAATGGGCACACTGGGGCTTGTTTTGGACACACCACCTCTCTATTTCTCTATATTTTCCTCTACAACCAGGTCAGTCTTCCTCCAGGGAGCCAGCTTAAGGGTCACTCTCCACCTTTATTGGCTCTTGCTGCTCCCCAGCAAAGGCCAACCTCTGGTTCCAATGTTCAGCACATCCCCCATCTGCCCCCAGCCCACTTATCCAGTCTTCTCCTCTCAATATTATTTCCCAGTATCTCTCCAAACACTTTTTTCTGGCAGAACAAGCCCTTCACTTTGTCACCTCTGCCTTTGTTCATACTGCCCCTCTTCCAAGAATGCACTGTTCACATCTTCAACTGTGCGGATCTTATTCACACTCTAACACCCAGGACTGATGGGTCTTTGTGAAGCCGTCTCAGTGTCCTGTGATATCTGCAAGCACACGGTACCTCTCATGGGCTCTTCCTCTTGTCAGAGAAGCATTTGTGTTCCCAACTTATCTCCTCTACTAGACTGAAAAGTGTCGTATTGATCTGATAATCCTAGCTCAGCATCCTGCAAATTGGAGTTACTCAATTAAACATTTTTAAGCAAACTAACAAGTATTTTTTCCCCTCTCATTTGAAATCTGTAGGAACTCTGCCCACAGAGGGAAAGTGTGAGCTCACAGATACTGCACTTCACAGACAGGCAAAATCCCAGTATGGACTAGTCCCTGGGATGGGAACAGAAATGTGGTCTCTGACATTTGGAAGGCTTGATAGTAGTCTGAGCCATGAGAGTAAGCTCTGGAGAGTCAGCTGCCAAATCCTAGATGTGGGCAGTTCCCATAGAGGATCCTTGAAGGGACCCTGCAGTGTCCTGGGCCTTGGAAAGAAATCAGCTTTATTCTCTCCATACACATAGCATCACAAATCCTGGACACTCATTTTGTATTCTTTCTTGGGGTTCTTTCCTACAGAGCAGATTACAAAGAAGAGACATCAGTGACTGCGGGCTCTGGCAGAAAGTCATGAGAAGGAGCACACGAATCCTTTCAGTGTGGGCCAATGTGGCCATTCACTCAAGAGAAGATGTGGACTAAGGCTACTTGGACTCCACTTTTTCAAACTCATTGTCTTCCCTGTGTGGGAAGGAGGGAGATCCCGGAGAGAATGCACAAGGGCATTCTCTCACTCATTCAACCATGGCACCTTGGCTCATGGATGGCCAAAGACTTCTTACCATAGATCTGCTCTTAGCTTAGCAAGGGTAAGGATGTAGAACTAGAGACAACCAACTGTGGTGGCCACTACCACCTCATCTTGTACCCTATGAAGGAACCACAGCCAGTGAGAGACTTTCCCAAGGGACTCCACTGCCTCATCAGCAGATGCCATTGCACATGCCTAGAATAATCTCAAGCTGAAGTTCTCCACAATCACTGCCCCATCAGGGGAATAAGAGTTCACAAATTTTAGAAACTCAGTAGCTATGGACTCCTGATACAACACTGAAATCAGGATAATAATGGATGGAACAGCTGCTAGAAATGGC